GAAGCCCACCATCGAACGCTTCCTCGAGGCTTAGTCAGTACACATCAAATTACAATGTACACTTGTGACAGCTTGCAAAAATGTTAGTTCAGGGAAACAGAAAGTCACCATAACACGTACAATGTTGTTGTTTCAGCTTGGGCAAACACCGTCCTGTCCTTTCTCAAGTCGGGGAAAAATCCATTCCTGAGAGGGGACACGGGCAGCAGACGCCTTCCCGCAACGAGGAGCACTCTGGCGCAGCAACCCCTGATCCAGAGGAGGGCGCTGCGAGCAGTGGCTTTGTGGCCGTGAACCTCAGTCCGGTGCCCCAGGAGGGAGATTCTCAGGAGTGGGTGATGCTGGAGCTAGAGCAAGGCAGCGGTTCTGGAGCCACCAAGCCTCCAGGTGAGGCCGTGTGTGAGGACAAGCCTGGGACTCGCACGCCCGCTGAGACGGAGAACCAGTCCTCCGAGCCGCACGATGCCCAGTCCACAGCAGCGCCGAGCAGTCCCGTGCTGTCGCAGATGTCCGTGCCCGGCACGTGGTTACTGGGCCACAGGAGGCTGCCGGGGATGCTGGGACAAATGCCCTCAGTCATTATGGGAAGACCTCAGATGGACCAGGTAGGGATGACCAAGCATTTTGTTGTGCATGACCAGAAAGCCTCATAATGGAAGTAGCATTACGGCTAACCAACCACCCTGGAAAACTGCATGACACACAAGTCGAAATAAGGGGTGTTTGTCCTGTTTCTCCCACTCTTCTGACTGTCTGTGAATGCAGCAGAGTTTTGCTTCTGGCGCCCACTGCCTTGGAAACTTTCTATGATTCTGAGCACTTCTACTACTTAGGACAAACTTTAGATAAGAATAGGATGGAATTAAAAAAAGAAAAGAAAAAGGTCAAGGTCTTTTTATACCCTCTAACAATCATTAAACTCTTCTCAGTCCTCTAGCTGTGCGCCGCAGTCCCCGGTACAGGAGAGGAGCGATGCGATACCACTAGAGGCACCAGCAGGTAAATCTGACAAAGTCCCAGAGGAAATCTTAAAAGATGGAGGGAGGTTGGAGTTCGCTCCAGTGCCAAGCCCAGCCAAAGGCCCCACCGCTCATCTGACCAACGACAGAGACCCAGAGAGCGACTCTGGTCTGCCCGATCGCTCCTCTGAGCCGAATCAGCAGCCTCAAGCTGACACTGCGGGAGGCGCTATGGAGAGCACCGTCACCGTCTCTTCCTCTCCGCCGCCAGCTCTGCTGAGGCGAAGAGACTCTCCGTCGTCCCCGAGACTGAGTCGAATCCCAGTGCGAGACCCCAGCAACCCCCTGGACTCTCCGAGCAGGGACCTCCACATGGAGAGGCGTCATCGCTGGAGCAGTCCGGTCCCTGGCTCCCCCACCCACTCACCCTCTCCATCTCTGTCCTGTGACAATCTGCCTTGCGCTTTGCCGAGAGACAGGCTCTGCTCGGAGCGAGGCTCCAGGTCCGACTGCGTGGGAGAAGACCCTCTCTCTCTGTCCTCCTCATCAGGTAGTAAAAGTAAGATCCCGCGTCCTGTGAGCGCCACCTTTATACCCGAGCAACTCACCAGCAGGTTTCTGCCTCGACCACCTCCTGGGAAACCACCCATCCGCCCGTGTGTGGACAACAGGTATGAAACTGATCCACTTTTTGTTAGATGGTAAATATTTAAAGGTATAATCCTGAAGATTTCAATCCTGGATGATTTGGAGACACCCATGGTTACTTATCAGCAACTATGTCAGAAATACACCAGAAGAGCAACCGTTACAGTGCAGACTAACACACTTATGTTGTTTTAATAAAGATGTCAGTCAGTCATTTTTTCCATAATACCACAAGCTGCTGCAATCTGACTTTATGCTGCTCACAGTGTGATTCCAACAACAACACGGCGCAGTAGTAGGAGTTGTTACCTCGCTGAGGAGTGGGAGGTGTCAGCCTGTCGCCTGAAACTCTTAGGCTGCTCCATCTTGTTCTGTTCCTCACTGCAATATTTAAAACTGACCCACCGTCAAAAACTGTTGTCTTGTTTAGTAAACACGTTTTTGATGAGTAATAGAAGCCACTGCGTGTTTCACTGGTTGAATGCTTTTAATGTGAAGTAGCTGCGGTAGGAAACATTCAGTGACGTTATCAGTGAGATACAATTACAAACAGCGGATTAAATGCTGCATTATTTCCCACAAATCTCTTGTGTGTACTCCACCACCCACAATGAAAACCACAAAGGAGATAATAGCAGAATGTAAATACATTAAATGGGTGTTGCTGACAATGAATAATATCAAAAGCAGCATTTGACATGATTCAAATCTTAAGGATTATAACTTTAACTTGTAGAGGAGCAGGCATCAACATACAGGAGGGGTTGTATGATCATGTAACTCGTGTTCTTTCGTCCAGGAGACGGCGGTTAAGAGTGCGTGCCAGCAGCACTAGCGACGCAGACTTCCTGGCCAGTCTGACTCAGCTGATGCAGGACCGCAGCGGGATGCTCTTCAGCCCTCCTCCGCGCCCTCGCAGCTCTTCCTCCTCCCTGCAGCGCTCGCTAAGCTCCTCCCCTTCCCGCCAGGAGCTGCGCGACGGCGGCGCTCTGCAGGGACGCAGCCGCTCCCCGTCAAGCTTTTCCAGCTCCCCTCCTGCTCGCCACGTTCACCCACAAGACAGGTCTGGAGTTCAGGGTCAGTGGGGCCACAGCTCCAGGGGAAGGGGTCAGATCCACGAGGGTAAAGGCTCTGGAAAAGTGAATCGATGACTCTGTTCGTCAACAAGTGACTGATCCGGATGGTGCAACTGTAGCGAGAGGCTATCTCACATCCAGTCCCTGATAGCATGTGTAAATACGGTATTTACTCAAGGGAATGTACTGTATGTAATGTAAAATGTATGATAAATTGTATTTATTTATTTATTTGTTGGATGTGTCTCTCGAAAATACTTGACGACGTGGCTTGATACCCGCAGTTGAAACAAAAAAGGTTGAGAAAACCGTAAGATTGCCAACTCTTTACCTCTCATTTCACTCCTCTCTTAAAAATCCATATAGGCCTAATATGAGACCAAAAAGATAATGTTTAATACTTGAGGGATGTAAAAATGATGCTAATTGTAGATATGTACCACTAACGAGATGGTACACACTAATAGAAACCATGTACTCACGTTAAGAACACTAATAGTAAATAACACGAGCATACCAACATCAGCATTCATGTACAGAACCAGGGCATGCGGCCCCATATTGACCTCACTCCTGTAAAACAGATAGATTAATTATTGTATGTAACAATGAATTGCTCATCTGGCATATCACTGTGTAGTAGTGTGCTTTTACTTTGCTAGAAAAAAAATGTCATGGAAAAAAAGGCATCAGCATATTAGAATGTACCTGTATTTGCACTCATACTTAAGTATTGTAAAAGTGCATGAGTATCATTGCAAATGTTTGTTTGTTTGTTTTTTTATTCGTTTGTACAATCCGCTAAGGCATCTGTATTTTTATTGAACTGCTTAAATACATCATAATGTAGACCAGCAACGATGTGCATATTTATTTCTGACATCAAGTAGATGGTGAGGGAAGAAAACGGATATAAATGGAACCTTTTCATCATGTCTGATTGTTGTTGCATTTTATTCTTATCACAGTTTAATTATATAAATATATTAAACTAAGTTCAATAAATGCCAGCTCTCACTATCAATTACTTCCTGGCTACACATGCTGTAGTTTTCATTGTGACTAAGTTTCCTATTTCCTCATTCACGCCTAGCAGTATCTAACCATGCAGATGGTGGTTTTAAGTTGTCTGAGATTTCGATACAGTTGAATGGGATTTGTTTTGTGGCGCCAAAACTAATGAAAACTAAAATTTTAATAGCAACAGAGTCCCAGTTACTCTGGATAATCCACACATTTTGTTTAACAGCGTTGTCAGAGACCAGATAAATGGGAAAAGAGGTACAGACAAACCTTTATAAACCATAGTCACACCAGCTCAGGCCGAGCGTCCCCTGAGAGCAGTCGGTTGTCAAATTCTGTCCAAGCAGCTGTTTGCTAAGATGGACGTCCCTGTAAGCACAAGACAGACTGCTGACGAGCTGATGACTGTATGAGGAGGGGGCGGGGGGGTCCCAGAGGACGACTACAACGAAATGAAAGCTCCTCTATATGTGGAACAATATGAACCCACAAGTTTAAACAGCAGTCATTTTCAGGAAGTTAAAGAAGATGTGGGCAAAGACGGATTTAAAATCTTTTAAATGAAGACCGGGCTGTCTTGTTTCACTTACTCTAGTCCAGTTATCAGTTTGTAAATGAGGAAATGATGCATCAGACCTAAGAGGTCCAGTATAGCAGATGCTTGACTGCTACACAGGAAACTGAAACTACAACGAATGCCCAGATGTTCACACTATAAGCAAATGTAAGCAACGTAATTAACAAAAATTATGTGACAAAAAGATTCACTCAGCAGCTGCTCTGGAGCTTTTTGAGTTTGGCTAGTTGTCTTGGAAATGCAGATGTTCAAAATGTCCAGTTTCTGAGCCCTTAAAAGGATTTCTGTGTTGTTTTTTATCAACTGTTTCCAAGGTCAAAAATAAACTTTAAACTTCAAGCAACTTCACTCAAGTTCTTAACTAAACCTTATTTAGGTTAATTAATTCCTTTGAGCTATATAAACAGATAAATACGCACTGACATTTAAATTAAAAGTTTTAAAAGTAAAAATGTTTACATATAACAAATATTTTTTAGGGTTTTCTGCCTTTATTGTGAAAGGACAGCTGAAGGTTGACAGGAAAGGGAGAGACACAGGATGACACAGCAAGGAGTCGAGCTCATTGAGGACTCAGCGTTGGTACGCAGGGCGCCAGCTCAACCCTCCCTAATATGTGACTTCCACAGCTGCATGGTACGCTCCCTAATTTAGTTTTTCTGACTTTGCAACAGCAGGAATTCCTGTGTGTGTTGAGCAGTAAAATGCAAACGGTAATAAAACTCTTAAAAATGTTTATTCATTTAAAATACAATTGACATACATTATGTTTGTTGTTGTCATGGAAGTTAATAAAAAGTTATACGTCTTCCTCCACCGATATCAGCATATACAGCAGTCCGTAAACAGCCAAGACCTTTAAAACGCGGTGTTACATAAATGTGCGTAAAATGATAAAAAAATGTCTGAAACCCTGAAGCAGTGCAGCACGTCCATGGTGGCGACACCCGATCTAAAAAAGCGAATCATGGCCTGCAGGTTTGAGGTCTAGAAGAGAGGAGCAGACTGTCTGGGGTCATCGGGTAACACACTGATGGAGTCCTCTGCTTTTCCACACAGCATGCAGAGCATAGTGTACTCCTGGACGACACAGAACGGACTTAATGTGACCATTAAAACATTAAACAGTGGCAACAACTGACTGTGAATACTGTAGGTTAGATAACAAGATCCTATTTAAAAAAAGCAAAACATATACAGAATGAATTTACTTAGTTGTGGTCATGAATCAGAACACAGATACCTTACCTGATATTCATCCACAACGGAGAATGTGTATTCATGGCTGGCGATGACATGGTCGCAATTTTTACAAACATCTGGAAGGACAAAGTTAGTTATTAGTGGATGAATGAGTCTCTCAGAGGATTGGGATTATTACCACCAACCAACCAATGTTTGGTGAGTTATAAAGAGGTCTGGTAATTCTCTCTTCTTCACTACACGACCAAAACCAGATGCCTTACATCGGCATTACTATGCTGCTGTAACAGCCTCCACCCTTCTTTAAATGTCCAGTAGTGTAACATGTAGGGGGATCTAGTTGCAGAAGTTGAATATAATATTAATAAGTATGTTTTCGTTCGTGTATAATCATCTGAAAATAGGAATCATTGTGTTTTTGTTACCTCAGAATGAGTCGCTTTTATCTACAGACCACACAGGGTCCCTAATGTTTCTACAACAGCCCAGAATGGACAAACCAAACACTGGCTCTAGATAGGATCTTTCACGTTTGTTGCGAGTTTCGCCATAGTTTCTCCTACACAGGTCATCAAAAACAGATGCGTGCGATGTTCAGTTATTTGCAAGTGCAACTTCATTGATAAATGCTACTAAATCCTACACACTGGACCTTTAAAGGCTTTCTACAAAGGTGCAGAATGGAGTTATAGTCAGAGCTCTGTGCAGACCAGTCAGGTTCTTCTACACCAAACTGTGAAAAAATTACTTAATAATAATAATACATTTTATTTGTAAAGCACTTTTCATAAGAGAATCTCAAAGTGCTACAGAAACCAAAACAAAATAACAGAAGAGACACTAAGGGCAATAACACATTAAAATCAGTAACAAATAAAAATACAATTTAGAAAAACAGCTAAAAGAGGAGTATTGAAGTGCAGAGTGCGATTAGACAAAAATCTAGGACAGACAAAAAAGTTAGCCCTTTTTAAAATGTCAACAGACCTTGGGGTTTTCACAGATTTCAGGAGGAGTTTCCAGATGTGAGGCAGCTGAGCAGAAAGCTCGGGTCTCCCAATGGTGCGGAGTCTTGAGCGGGGCTGGTGGAGGAGGTTTGTGCTTTGGGACCGGAGGTTACGGGTGGATGAGTGAGGGGTAAAACTTTATACTTATTATATATTATACTTTACTTTATAGACCTTGACTTTGTTGTTTTGAAACAGGAAAAGCGTCTGCCACAAAGTCGGAAGAACAGAAGCGAAGAATAGATGTAATCATGTAGTAATGTCGGCCTATCTGCTTTATACTGATATATAATAATCAGCTGATGACATACATAATCAATGATAGCCTCATTTTAAACACATATTCTAGCCTTAATTAGCCTTATATACACAAGTCCATACCTGAGAAACAGCCCCAGAAGCACATCAACTATTTATACTGCTTTTATCTGGAGGTTCTTACGGTGACTTACGGTCATATGTGACTATCTCCTCTCCATCATCGTCCTCTGTGGCTTTATTGCTGATCAGCACAAAGTCCCTCTGATGGCAGTTGGCACAGCCCAGGTAGTTCATCAGGTAGGAGCCGTTCTCCAGACAAGTGTTCCCCTGAGCAGGAAACAACAAGAGCATCACCCTGATACCATCACATTAAACTATTACAACACCCTCAATGTTAGACATAAGCCTTTTACTAACCCATCATCCTTTACACAACACAGAATATCTCACAAGTGTGCAAAATACTAACGTTTTGGTTATTTGTTTGTTTCAGGTTTTTAAATCAGAAAGTGATTGCAAATATATGTTGAGTTCTGTTTGTTTAAAAGTCTTATGAGATGGTATCTTCTGCAAAATGAAGCTAAAATAATTAAGAAAAATGTATAATATATATTGCGTATTGCTGGATCATTTAGAGTTGGTAAACATTAACAGCAAATCATCTACTTTAAGTACAATTTCTCTTCCATATTATGCTTAAGATCCAATTAAAAATCAGCCCAGAATGCTGCCACATGTACACAACAACAAGAGTAAACAAATAATGTTTCAACCATATCACTACAGAAAGAGCATTGGTCATCAATATTGTGAATGAATTTGCAAATCATGGAGTTTAAGGGACAACCTAACCAGATAATGCATAGTGTATATACTTTAATGTATAGTTTTATATCTTCTAACATTAATAATGTTAGTCATATTTTTATTGTGATGTTCTTTGTTCTCTGTTTTTGCCTTATTGCTGCTGTGTCAACCTGAATTTCTCCTAAGGGGGATAAATAAAGGAATATCTTATCTTATCAGGAAAAGTAATAGTTTAATATAACCCAGATTTAGGAGAGATAACAAGAACATTAAAAGTAAAAACTAAATGTGAGACACAGGAAAATACTAAATATATAAGTTGTGAAGAATATAGCTTACAGAACATTAGTAGTTCCCAATCTTGGGTTCAAATCAGAGGAGTTTTGAGAAGCTTAACAGGATAGAAAAAGCAAGATGCATTTTATTTGCAGGCTTCTTCTGGTATTTTCCTTTTCTGTTTAAATTAATAAACACTTTTAACCCTCAATATTCCTACACATATTCTAATGAAACAGAAAAGGCACAAGGTGACAAACTTTGAAAACCACTGCGGTAAAAATGTCATGTCAAAAGTCACATTAAAGTGATGCTTTTACGGCCTCTTGTGTCCCACCGCCAAGCATTCTTTATCACACCGTCACACTCTGACAACTATTTTCAATTTAATAAAATCTGGCCACAGAAAATTTGTGTCAATTAAATACAAAAAGCAACCAAGCAACAATCATTGGTTATTTTGTACATATAAACAACTTAAGCATTTGCTCAAAAAAAATTACATTTAGCAGACCTTCGTATGCATAGCACTAAAGGACAAAAGTCAAAAGGTATATATGGAAAAAGCCCACAAAGAGATTAATCGTGGTGAAGCTCATAAAACGACAAAGATGTGAATCACATAAATGTTTTTTTTGTGCAGAATTAAAAATGTCCACACCTGCAGACAATTATTTCTCTCTGCACTTGAGGATTAATACCTGGTTGACCTCCTGAACAACTTTATTAAAAAGTAGGTTTTTGTATTAAACACTAACAGTTGTCAGGTTTGAGTAAAATGAAAGATTTACTCAGGAACATGCAACTTGAGTTTTTTAAACCAGAGATTCTGCACAGCACCAGAAAACTGTGTAGGAGGCAACAGCAAAACCCATGACCCAATTAAAATAAAGCAGCCTCTCAGGAC